TAATTATAATAACAATAATAACAATAATAATAATAATGAAATAAAAAAATAAAAAAAAGATCAAGAGTGAGAAACAATATATGTATGTTGCGTTGTTAATGGTAAGAGAAACAATTGAGACCCTGCAACTGTGTGTAAATGAGGCAGAAATTCAGATCAGCAACCTGGGACTTGGTCCCAATTTTCTTGATTCCATATGGCAGCAGACTCTACCATTAGACAACACATTATGCTTCCAATATCTTCCCAGGCGGTAGTACCTCCCTGTTTTGTAGCTGCCTATCTACCTACTACCTACTTAGAAGCATTAGCTGTAGTGTGAGCTCTCAAGCATTTTCGGGATCTCATTTTGGGATATCCGATCACAGTTCACACAGATCATGTAGCTCTGACAACTATATAATGGAAAGAACTAATCAGGGCGTTTAGCTCGCTGGTATCTAACTATACAGGAGTTCGCACCAGACTCAAGTTTTTGCCGGGCCGTGCGAACGTGGTAGCCGATTCGCTATCTAGATACATAGCTCCTGTCACGCCACTACCTACGTTCACCCTGTCACAGTTAAGGGCAGAACAATTACAGGATCCACTGTGGTCCAAGGTTATATATGCCTTAGAATTGGGAGATGAGGTAAATTTGCCAAAATTACCTCTACCACTCTCATAGTTTGAGCTGCGGCACGACATACAATATCCCTCAGTGAAAACACAAGAAGAGTTAATCCCTCAAATTTTATTCCTACATAATTAAAGGAAAACACTCTCACCCTCTTCCATGATGCACCTCAAGCTGGGCATCCAGGGCGAGACAGATGTCTAATAGAAATTAGACAAAAATATTTTTGGAAAACTATGAGGACCGACGTCGAGCATCACATTGCTAAATGTTTATCTTGTGCAAAACACAAGGGAACAACGATGGATCCCGCTCCAATCTTAAAATACCTGACGCCGGAACGTCCATGGAATAGAGTTGCGATCGATTGATTGCAACTACCAAAAAGCCACCGAGGCTCTAGTTCCGTTCTTGTCTGCATTGACCATTTCTCTAAATTTGTGGTAATAGCACCATTGTAGACCAAGTCGGCTGAACTAGTGGCTCATGCATTAGTCACTCCTCTAATCTGTCATTTTTCTACACCTAAAGTGATACTCTCAGATAACGGGGTAGAATTTAACTGCAATATTTTTTTCACCAAATCAAACCAGTGTGATACTTTTATGTCAGGATGTAGGCAAACATTTAGTAGTAGAAGGTTACCATATATCACCAGACTATTGTGAAATTAGCAGTAATTCATTCACAACCTTGCCTACTCGCCATTATCTTACATTTGTTACAAACATTACTTCTGAATTGGTTCCCATACCATTTTCCTTAAATATAAATTTCAGTTATCTTCATATTGTTTCTGATAACCTTAAACTTACTATCTTATATTAATGAGACACAGTTTCCTGACTTATAGGATTCTCTTCCTTATATTTATCTTCCGGTAAAATCGCACCTGGTTTCATTATACCTACCATCATATTTATCAATTCCTTGATTATTATGATAATTTGTTACAGGAAGATTTCTTCTAGGTACACCATGGTTTCTAAGAAGACTTTTCGGAGGAATTGCAAAAGCATATGCAAGAAGAAAAAGTTTAGCTAAAGCACACCTTTTTGTAACAAGGTTAGGTACACCTAGGATTTGAATCGTGAGGTCTCGGTTGGAGGTAGCCGAACGGTGTAACGGCACCATTTGCATTATATAAATATTCACCCAAATGTATAATCCCAAATTATTCACCAAGTTATTCAACTGTGCCTCATCTGTTGACATTATACATAGATGAGGTTGTAGTTCTTTCGGGTAGTGAGCGAGGTCTGGGCGAGGTCTGGGCGAGGTCAGCTCATGTTAGCAAAACAGTATATCTGACGTACAGATTTTACAGATTGCCCCGGAGGGGGCTAGTTTATTGGGCACCCCCTTACATCCTGTGCAAGGTGAAGCGCAGAAGCGTTTACAGTGCCCAACTGGGGAGCATGCTAAGTTCATGCTTGCCTTTATGACTCATGCATTAAGGGTGTGGAAGCCTGAAGGGTCATAGGTTTTGTCAGCAAGTTACAAAAAGTGACAGAATGATGAGTGTGTGTGGGGGGAATTCCCGGTACATTTCATCTGTTTATAGCAAAGCGTGGCAGGTCCCTAATAATGTCAAGTGCCAGGCCTGTGACTAGGAGGAAGGATATCTGGTCAGGGAGGGAAGAGGTGTTGGTAACGGCTGGGGACCTGTAGGAGGAGGTCATAGGACAAGTGAGGATGTAGTGAGGGAGGGTGTGAGAGTCGGGTTGACCACAAAGTTTACAAACAGTGCGGCCAGGCTCAGGGTTGCCAATGTACTCCCATAGGTACCTGTACCCTAGGCGCAGTCTCATGTACATAATCTGTTGAGATCGAGTCAGAGATTAATACTCTTTGTAGTGGCGGTTGGCGTCACCGGTTGCAGCGTCATAGTGGCATAATGTGACGCTACCCCGTTGTTTCAGGTGTGTCCATTTTACGTCAAATGCCTCTCGTTGTGTGGCGTGTATGCGAGATTTGAGATGATTCAGGGAGAGGGCGAGGGTGGCTTCAATATCTTCTTCTTGTGTAGCTTCTTTGGCAAGTCGATCAACAGTGTCACGGGCAGTTATTCCTATATGTGACGGGATCCAAATAAACTTGACACGGATGTCATCAGTTTGTTCTAGCCCGGCGATGGCGGCTAGGGTGTGTTAGGCGGCAGGGGAGGAGGGGGAGGGTAATTCGAGCCTCACTAGCACAGAAGTGCTGTCACTGATTATAAGGAGGTTCCGGTGTTCAGTGCGAGCATAGGTCGCCCCTTCATGAATGCCCGCGAGGATGGCTATGCTTTCAGTGTCAATGGAGGAGGCCCAGGCATGGACCCTGATTTTCTTGCGGGCCTGGCGCTCAGGAATCCACACAGCTGCCCCAGCGCAGCCCAGCGTGGTGACAAACCCATCACAGTAGACGAGGATAGGAGGGAGGGAGGTCTTTAGAGAGGAGGCGACATCATTAATCTGCTCAAGGCAGTTAAGTTTGAGCATATACCGCAGTTGGGTGGATTTACGACCAGGGAAGGTGTGGACGACAACATCAATACTCGGGGAGGTCCACGGCGGTAGAGGCGGATGAGTGTACTAGGGAGGGAGAGAGTTCGAGGGGGTGTAGAGGTGATAACGCAGGATGTCAGCAGCAGTGTGGACGGGCCAGTGTTGAGAGAGGGAGGGAGAGGTAATGGGGGCAGGCCGGCGCAGGAGGGAGTCAAGATCTGAGTTCAGTGAGCGGGACAGGGGAGTCGGTTTCTCACTGCGAAGAAGTTTAACACCAAGGATGGCATTGAGAGCAGTAATTCGATCGCGGACAGGAAGCAGGATTAGTTCACGCTGCATGACTTCTATTCTGGTGGTCATAGGGCAGCCGGGGATGAGTCTCATCGCTCTGTTTTGGATTTTCTCTATGCTTTGTTTCTCCCGCTGGGAGGCAACTACAAGGACAGGAGAGGCATAATCTATGACAGCTCTGACGATAGCAATGTAGATGAGACGTAGGACCATGACAGAGGCTCCTTTGAGGCAGTGAGTAAGGGGCTGGAGGGGCCTCGTTCGTTGGCGGCACTGGGAGATGACGTGGGCGGCGACAGAGGAGGTGGTGGCGCTGGTAGTGGCTCGCACGGGTAGACCAAGGTACCAGTCGGTGCGTACTTGATCGATGTCTTGTCCTTGCAGAGTCAGCGGTGTCTCACGCCGGAAGTGAGAGATGAACTTGGTTTTAGTGTGTGAGATGACTAGCCCGAGTGTTTGACAGGTCCGGGCGAACGTGGAGAGTATAGGTTGTTCATGTTGCACTGTAGTAATTTGGAGGAAGATATCAGCGTAGCTTATGATGTGACCTTCAAGGGCGCGCTCAGCAAAGATGTCGTTGAGGCGGCAGATGGAGTTCATGAGTACATTAAAGAGTGTAGGGCTGAGTACACCTCCCTGAGGCGTGCCAAGATCAAGGTCCCTGATCGTAGAGTAGTGGCCCTGAAACCGGACACGAGCCTGTCGACGGGAGAGGTAGTCAGCAATCCACGTGAGGAGTTTGCCCTTCACATCAATGTGAGTGAGGCACTCAAGGATCACTTCACTATTGGCTTTATCAAAAGCACCCTTGAAGTCAACGAAGAGGGAGGTTTTGGCTGAGGTGTTCGCCATGTAGTGAGCGATGCAGTGAGCAGTACTCTTTCTTGTCTGCCTGGTTTAGGGACTGGGATGGTGGTGGCAGTCTTCCATAAGTGAGGCAGCTGACCAGTATCATAAGAGAGGTTAAATAGACAGAGGAGGGGGTTACCAGGGGTGGCAATAAGGGCATTTAGCACAATTTTTTTTTTTACAAACAAACATTGCAAACATTGCTGGAATCAAATAGCTTTAGACGGCAGTAATGCCACTTTCAATTGCAACGAAATGCACATTTCATATACAGTATGTCACAAGTGTCAGTTGCGACAAACGATAATATAGAACTTCTTTACACTGGTTCGGGCTCTCAAAACGAACTCAACAGAATCACATTAAGTTTGCTGATTCACTACCATTGATACCATTCGCTTGGCTGGGAATATTTTACACTTTTACAGCATTGTCACATTGCTCGGGTGAGACCAGGTTTACTGTTAAGGGCGGAAGTGGTGGCAACTGTACCTGAAATATACTTTTACCGTGACTCCCTCGTCCCCAAAAACAACATTAACATTATGAAACCATTCAGAATGCTCATCTAATATATGACAGTATTTCCTATGTAATGGAAATGAGTCTGTTAATTGAATTCCTGCATACTAGGCATATTTCGCCACAGTGGATTTTGGTGGATCTATATTATGATGTCTTAGAACCAATTAACTTTGTGAAGGGGTGTCCCTAATTTGACTAAAATATTCCCCACTCTCTTCATTATTTCTTACCGGGTATGAAATTGACGGAAGGGTAAAGCTCGATGTCGGAGGGCAGGACAAAGTAGGTCTGCGCAGCAAGTCTGGCCACGTTCCTGCCCACATTGACGGGGTATAATAGTCCATTCTGATGACGGTACGTGGTCGCCTTGGTTAGATTGAGCCCCTGCTCACAGTCACCCTTCCTCGCTCGCACCTCTTCCGCCGTTGGTACCTACGCAACCCAAGGTCGGAGGAGTAAAAAAAAATGCATTTAAACAGCATTCACCAACTGCTATACTGCTCTTGGAGAGAAAACAAAGAACACAGAGGAAGTCAACAGTACAGGTACCAGGAAAAGTGAGAAATATGCTGATATGATCGTAATCGTGATTACACATCGTGATTATTTCAAAAGGAATGTTCATAAATAAACGAACGTACAACAAAAACTCAATTTACTGTATAGTTTGTCGACCTGGTACAATTAAATCATGTTTTCTGAGAGATGAAAAAGGTCGACATTATACATAATGGTGCGGGGATTTAATAGACAAGGAAAAATTAAAATCTTTAATAGATGGATCTAAATTTTCATAAGATTAATATGGAAATTATAAATGCAAAAATGTATCTAACCTAAATAACTTTAAAGTTTTGTGAAGTTTCAAAATATTATTAACACAAATGGTTATATTTTGTCTGTAATATTTTGTCTGTAATACTCTAGTATTACAGACATAATACGGATGGTGAATGTTTGCCGAGTCATAAAAGGGACCGAATGTAGATGCTGTATTGAAAAACATGAGCTCAGTATTGTAAGAAAAGGAAATGAAGTACCGGTATGTGCAGTCACGAGCCATGATAACGAGGACACCCTGCTTGAACGAGAGGTGAGGCTAGGTGGTCTTTCTCGACGAGAGCTCACTGCGATGGTCTCACACACACACACCAACACAAACGGTTGAACAGACTAACCTATTGTTTGATAAATATTTCAACAAATTATATCTCGGCACCACGCACAGAGCTAAGTAACTTGGTACATTACATAAGAAAATAAGAAAATAAGGAGTCTGCAATAGGCCGGTTAACCTGTGCATGGCAGCTCCTGTCGAGAGTTACTACCACTCTCTATCATCCATGAATCTATCTAGCCTCCTTTTAAAAATTTACAGCGTTCCAGCACTTACTACAAAGTTGCTAAGCTTGTTCCACTCTTCCACCACCCTATTTGTGAACCAGTTCGTTCCTATCTCCCTCCTAAACCTAAACTTATCCAACTTAAATCTGTTGCTACGAGTCCTATCCTGCTCGAATATTATAAGAAATTTATCTATATAGCCATTGTTGATTCATTTCACCCACTTAAATACTTCTATCATATCTCCCCGCACTCTTCGTCTTTCTAGGGAATGCAAGTTTAGCTTCTTTAACCTATCTTGATATGGAAGGTTTCTAAGACCCGGAATCATTTTCGTCATTCTTCGCTGCACCGACTCCAGTGAATTGATATCCATTCTATAATAAGGGCACCAGAACTGAACCGCATAGTCGAGGTGCGCCCTGACGAGGGCAAGATATACTGTAGTTGCAATAAGACCTCTGCACTCTTATTACTTACACTACTACATATAAAACCCAATACTCCGTTTGCCTTATTTCGAACATTAACGCACTGTTTCCTAGGCCGTAGGTCCGGGATTACAAGTACCCCTAAGTCTCTTTCACAAGTCGACTTCTCTAGGTTGATGTTGTTAAGGCTCTATACATTGACAGTATTTGTTCTTCCAATATTAAGTACTTGAGAAATATTAGAACAGACGAACCAAAACGATATTTTTTTCCACTAGAACATAAGAACATAAGAACATAAGAATGGAGGAAACTGCAGCGGGCCTATTGGCCTATACTGGGCAGCCCCATTTACACCCAGCCCCTATTGCTCATATAAGCATCCAACCAATTACATTTCAGAACGCTATCATTCTGCCAAATTCTAACATAGATATGTTAGGCCTCACCATTTCCTCTAGTATGTCATGGAAGCCACACATCCTCAACATTGCTAAAGCTGCCTCTCGAAAGCTAGGAATGATGTACATATGCCGTAGTTACTTCACTCCTGAGCAGTTGCTTCAAGTATATAAGGGATTCATTCGTCTTAACTTGGAGTACTGCTCTCATATCTGGGGTGGCTCTTCTGCGCTAAATGTTAGATAGGGTGGAATCAAAGGCATTTCGTCTTATTAACTCTCCTCCTTCAGTTGACAATCTTTCTTCCCTTGCTCTTCGCCGAAATGTTGCTTCACTCTCTCTCTTTTACAGGTACTTAACGGGCAATATATATACATATATAACTTCAACAATGGACTTGTTACGTGGAAAGCATAGTTTCATTACGTAGGTCTCGTCATTTTTATTGGTTTAAAATTATAATGCTCTTTTGTAATTTTGCGGAAGGTAAATTTTGGAATAATGTTACGTTTTTATTGTATATCACCTGTATTAAATAAAACTTTTTAAAACGTTTTGTTTTCTAGGCTCTGATGATGGAAAAAGATTTTCCGAAACGTTAGTGATTAAAGAAACCAAACATAGTCAAAATGTTTGTGTTTTCCCTGGTTCTCCTCTTCGTTAAATATATATATATATATATATATATATATATATATATATATATATATATATATATATATATATATATATATATATATATATATATATATATATATATATATATATATATATATATATATATGTAACCGGTCGGAATTTGCTGGACTTTAATTTCTCACTTGACTTGGGGTTTATTAAAATTTAATAGATGGTAAAGGCAGTGGAAGCGCCCCTTTGAGAAAAATCCCGAACCAGCACAAGAACACTTAAATCTACTACACAAAATGAACTGTCCGTGACCCGTGGAAGGATAGCGTCTGTGACTGGGATGAATGAGACACACTGTAAAATTTAGACACTTATATTCCCTCCAACACTACAAACACAATCAAATAATGGTACACCAATATGTGCACCTCTTAACTTAAACTTAAAACACTACTCTGGGGAATAAAAGTTATAAATGACATAGAAATTATTAGAAACACAGGCAACAATAAATTTGAAGTATTAAGAAATGTTAATTGCACACATGAACAGGCCTTAAGGGCTTTCACAAAATAATATCAGTCACTTAGGAAATGGTACTAAAAAATAAGAAATTAAATACTCCACAATGAATAGGCCTTAAGGGTTTTCAGCAAAATAATATCAGTCACTGAGGAATGGTAATAAAATATAAGAAATTAAATATTCTACAATGAATAGGCCTTAAGGGCTTTCAACAAGATAATAGCACCCCAACAGATGTACACTTCCTAACCTAACCTACCCACTACTCTGGGGAACAAGGTTATACCTGAGATCAGAATTATGAAGAACAATTAGAGGCATTAAAAGAATCAAATCACAGTATCACTCTGGTTCCACTTAATGGCACAAACATTCAAAACAATATTATCAAAATTATTTAGAGACTATTAAACTACACACGTCAAGATAATATCAGTCTGAGGAATGGTGTTAACTACACCCGTAATAAGGGAGGGAAAATGTTCCTCTAGGTATCTCCTACAGACCTAGACTCACGGTCTCAGTGTGTGACCATTAGTTTACTCAGATAGCCTCAGTGTACTCCCAGTGCGTCCATAAAGCGGAAGGGAGTGAGCCAATCAGACCTTGTACAGTTGAGAGAAACTTTAGCTTCCCGTTAGCAAGAGGGTTTCACTAGCTGCTCGGGACATGTGGGGTTGTGCACCGGAGTGGTAAGAACTGATCACCCACTGCTGATGCTGGTCCCGTGTCGTTTTAGTTGTCGGGAGCACTCGTTCACTCAAGAGATCCTTTGCTACCCCGCTAAACAGTGACAGGCCTACACTGATCGGTCCAATGGCGACAATCGCCACCCTCAATCATCAACGGCAGTCAATCTCTCGCAGTCAACTCCGGTCAACTCCGCAACTCCGGTCAACTCCAATCAACTCCGGTCAACTCCAATCAAGTGGGTTCTGACGGAAACCCTGAAATGAACTCACTGTTAGCTCTAGTTTACTTTATCACTGCCCTATCTAACCCTGTCTGAGATCGAATGAGACTTACTTGTTATACTGCAATAGCGCAGCACAGGTGACTAGGCCACGTGACTATTTCTGATGGACGCGCGGAACGTCTTGTCTGTGTGAATGCTCTCCGGGACTGGGCCTAGCCAGCGTCTCGTCTCCCCAAGGCGCTAGCTTGGGCCTACGTGATATATTTACCGCCTGACTAATAACTCCTTGGGACACCCGTAACATTATTCAGACTGCTAAACGATCTATAATAATTTCAAATTCAATAATAGTCCCTTAACTTCATGAATCGCATCATTATTAATTCGGTAAATTACATTTAATATCATATAGGCCTAGTTCCGCAGTCTCTCGCTACGAGCAGGCAGCGCTCCCTCCCCTCAGATGACCTTGAACGCTCAGTATCACTCATGGCGGGGCATTTGAAATTACTCTGAAATTTCTGATATTATATATATATATATATATATATATATATATATATATATATATATATATATATATATATATATATATATATATATATATATATATATATATATATATGCTGATAACCACAAGGAAAGAAGAAAACGCGATGTTCCCAAGCGCTTTCGTGTAATTCACTTCTTCAGGGGTGAGTGCAGACTAAAGAGAAGTACAAAACAAGGTGTATATATACAGAGGAGGGTGAGACCAGGTCCACAATGGTCAGGTATTAGGTAATGACCCTACTAATCTTTAAATAGCATGGCAACGGTCGGTAGTCAGGTCAGAGGGTAAGGTGACCCAACCTTCTCACCTGGTTACAAATCTTCTTAATTACAAAATTGTCCAGTTTGAACATGCCATTACTCAAATTCATGTTGAATGCTTCGGTATGTTGAATGAGACTAGATTCTATGATGTTCCTACTTAGCTATCAATTGAATTACAAGGTAATATTGAGGAGGCATTATCCCAGTCAATGCAATGCTTGTTATCCCTCAAATGCACAAACAGAGCATTGGATTCCTGGCCTGTCCTAACACTATATTTATGTTGTTTAAGTCTAGTTACAAGATCTTTACCTGTCTGGCCTAAGTAAAACATATTACATTCCTTGCAAGGAACTTTATAAATGCAA